TCTGATGGGGGGGGGGGGGGCGGCAGGTCCCTCTTTTGAAACCCCCCCCCACAAATGAAGAATCCCCCCCCCCAAAGTCAATGTCACCAAGTTATTCAGACACGCACAGCCCAAGGTTGATAGCATTAAGATATCTCCCCCCCACCCCCCACTCCCGCCTTCTTCTTCTTGGGATCCTATTTAAAGCCTTACAAATCCTGTGCTGATCTTCCAGCGCCGAGCCGTGTTTGTCCTTTCTCTTGTCATCACACAGAAGATAGGCCTCCTGATGCTGTGTCCCCACCCCCCCCAAAAAATCCTATGCATTGCCACCCCCTCTGAGAAACGCTTCCCAAATGGTTGCGCAGACAGGTTCCTTCGTGCTGAAACCAGAGAATCGCTCACCTCATTGATCGACTGTCGTCCTTGGCTCGGGGAGACGGGGTGACTGCCAGGAGGGGAGGCGATGGGTGCACGACTCCGCTGCTGCGATTACACTTCTCCCCTCTCTGCCCGGGGCTGTAGGGACGTCCACCCCAGCACAGGCCACCTGCCTCCCCGGTTCATCTCTGCAAGACAGAGGCACATTCGGGTGGGCGGACTGAGGAGGTGGAAGAGGAGGAGGAGGAGGGAAGAGTTAATTTGCCCTTGTGCTCAGTAGCCATAGCAAAAGCCCGTCAAATCCCTGCTTGCGGGAGGAGGGTCTTCGGGATGACAGGCAGGTGGAGAAGCCCTTCGCAGGGCTTGCAGGATATGCTCCAAGGCAGAGAGGCAGGCGGCTGGCTTCCAGTCTCTCTCCCAACGACAGTCGCTTGGATTCTCAGATGCACTTACATTTTTTTTTTAAATGGGGAATTGTTTAATGGAATCTTAGCTGGATAGTCATGCCTGTTTTAAGCCCAAAGGGTCAGGAATATTGCATACATGTGCAGGGGAGAGGGAGAAACTGTTTGAAAGAATAACATCATAATTTTATGGGGTTTTCTGATGAGGGTTACCTGGGCCGGGGGCAAACGTCCTCAGAAAACCAGGGCATCTTGGAGATCCATGGTGGAGTCTTCCCTTTGGCTTCTAAGAGGCAAGAGTGGCGATAACAGGGTGGCATGAAGGGCGGTGTTGTACGCACAGTTTGTGAAACACTGTTAAACACTCTGACACTAACAGATTGCTAACAGATTAACTTAGTAGGTGCCCTGAGCACTTCCACGATACATATGCTAAGTGCCATTTATGATTCTAACCACACAAACAGAAATCAACCATGAATATATATTCAGATATTAGCTTTGGCTCATTGCTTCAAAATGCAGACTGGGGGGAAAGCGGCTAACATACCATTATTTTGCTGGAGCCTGACCCACAAACTGGAGCTGCGGTGGCTCAAGTGGTTAAGACGCTGAACTGCAGGCTGTGGAAGGTCGGTAGTTCAGCAGTTCGAGACTTGAGTTGCCGCATGACGGAGTGAGCTCCCATCTCTAGTTCCAGCTCCTGCCAACCTAGCAGTTCGAAAGCAAGAAATTGCAAGTAGATAAATAGGTACCGCTTCAGTGGGAAGGGAACAGCGTTCCGTGCGCCTTGGCATCTAGTCATGCCGGCCACATGACCATGGAAATGTCTTCGGACAGAGCTGGCTCTTCGGCTTTGAAACGGAGATTAGCACCGCAACCCTAGAGTCGGATTCGACTGGCTTTCAACAAGGGAGCCTTTGCCTTTACTTTAACCCACAAACAGGCCTCTTGGCCATAGCCGCACATGTTTCTGATATCAGTTAGCCTAGCTGAAGAGAGAACAGTAGTACCCTGTACCTACATGGATACATTTAGAGCTTCATAGTTTAAGAAGAAGAGTCCATTGTTTAGCTAAAAGAAGAAAAAACTTAACTTTGGAAAACCCAGCCCATAGGTCTTAAGCCAATTAGAAATAGGTGACAAAGTTGCGACGAAGATGGATGGAACCAATAATTATGCTTTGTTTGTATTGTGTCATATTTATATGATCCTATGTCACCCATGGGGCTGCAGTGGTGGAAGTGGTTAAGACGCTGAACTGCAGATCGGAAGGTCTGTAGTTCGGCAGTTCGAGA